CTGTATGCCAGATTTTCCCATTGAGGGGAGGAGGCTTTCCAGGTGCCAGAATCATCTCCTCCACTGCCGCCGCCGCCACCGACCCAACCACCACCCACCACTGTGAAGGGCACAAGCTCCCCCCTACACACACACCTAAGGCGGGGATTGAACCCAGAACCTCCTGCATAATAGGCAAGCACTCTGCTACTGAGCTATATGCCCTTTTAAATTTTTAGTTTGTGACAGGGTCTCACTAAATTGTTGAGGCCAGCCTCAAACTAGTAATCCTCCGGCTTCAACTTTCTGGGTAGCTGGGATTACAGGCATGTGCCATCCCGGTGCTCAGCTTACCAAATATCACTTCTAAATCATATTCAAGGCAGAGTCTCCAAAGCAAGCCCCTTCATTCCTCAAGTCCTGGTCCTGAACATGTCCCATCAAGAGAAAAATGGTCACTCTCCATCCCCATAAACCAAAGAGGAAAATGGGAATAGGCAGTCACATCCTAGCAGAACAAATAAGACTGACCAAGGGCTGTGGGTACCACATCACTTTATTTCTTTGGTTTTCCAACTTCGCTATTTAATAATAAAAATTCAGTCTTCCACCTGCCGGGCCCCCTTGCTGACCCTCATTGAAGATGGCTCCGAGAGGAGGCTCAGCAGAAAGGCAGGGTCCCCAACAGCAGCCAGGCTGACAGAGGCTGGGAATCCCCAGCAGAAGAATCAGACCTTCCTCCCACCCCTTTCCACACTCTGCTTGGGACAGGCTGCACCTCAGTGGCCTTAGTGCCTCAGGGCCTTGGCTTAGAGGTCATCCATGACTCCTCCTGTGTGTTCCTGCTGCTGCTCATGTTGAGCCTGGCACATTCTCCATTGGGGATATGAGGCAGAAGCTTGTCCCAGATTCAATTATAATATTTTAGAAAACATCTTTGAGTAAAGTGAGTCCCACCCCCCAAAGAAACTGAAGGCATATATTCTGCCCACTGGGGACAGATGGCCATGCTATCATACTCCTCTTGCCCCCAGGAAAAGCTGAAAACAGCTTTAGCTACCTCTCTATACACCCCAAAAATATAGCTTTAAAGCTTCCAATGCTGGCAAGGGGGCCTGGCCAACCCACTTAAATCAAAACAAAAACACAATACAAATATGACCAGCAAACAAGCAAAAAAGAACATCTGTGCTCCTACAGCTTTCTACAAGGGACCAGATGGCTGATTTCTGGTTCTCTGCCCTTAAGCCAGAAAATAACGCAAATATGCTCTTTTAGAGTTAGGATAGACACTGTGGGAGCCAGAGCAAAGGCATCCTGGCCAAGCCAGGGGTCATCTCAGGTCCTTGACCCTCTCCAAACTGGTCCCTCTTCCTCCCCAGCCCCTCTGCACTCCCATCAGCCATCAATCAGGGTGAGGCCCTCGTAGAGTGCGCGCTTCCACATGTAGTAGGTGGAGCGGGCAGTGAGGGGGAAAAGGGCACTGAACTCCTTGTAAGAGGGGAAGCTCTTGGACTGGAATCGCTTCTGCAAGAATAACTTGGCCTGGGCCTTGAACTTTGTGGTAGTGAGCATGTCCATCACCAGCACCTGGCCATCCTTGCCACCTGCCACTGACACCACAGATTGGCTTGACAGGGACCCACCATGGGGCTCACTCTGAGCTGTGGCTCCCTCTCTCGGGGCCTCCTCTTTGGAAGGCCCTCCCTGGGCCTCCTCTGGATCCTTTCCTGAAGAAGCCCCCAAGGGCAGGGTGCCCACAGGTGGGGTCACTACAGTTGTCACATTCCTGCCAGCTTCCTTCCGTTTCTCCTCCCCTTCCTGCCCCTCTCTGCCCAAGGAAGAGGCCTGCCTCCGATATTTGGACAGGCCTCCAGGCTGGCTCCGGCCCCGGGCAAGACTCTTCCAGACCCAAAAGAAGAAAGGTGACAGGCTAGGGTAGCGGAGGCGAAAGCGACAGAAGGGCAGATGCCCACTCAGCACCTGCTTGCAGGCGGCCCTGCGCAGGTGTCTCTGCCAGCGGGACAGGTGCATTCTCTGGGGCAGGAGCTCCCGGGGTCGGGGGAGCTTCTCACCTGTTGCTTTCCCTGTCCCCTCCCCCACCTCATCCTTCCAAGGGAGCAGGGCCCCTTCCCCACCAGATACCAGTTGGGGAGTTCCTGCAGCTGGGAGGGACGGGGCTGGCTTGAAGCTGGGGTTCCTCCGGAGGGCCTTTCGCCGCCAGTTGTAGTAAGTGGACCTTGAGATGCCAGGGAACCTGCGTTTGAAGCAGCGATAGGGTACCAGGGTGTTCAGGGAGATGCAATGTTCCAGGTACAACTTGGCCCGCTGCATTAAGACCATTCCAGGGCTTGCCACCATCAGTGGGGAGTGCCCCGGGCCCTCGGCAGCCCTCTGCCCTGGCAGCTTCTCCACGGCCAGCACCTCCTTTGGGGCTGGGGCTAGGGTTGAACAAGAGGCAGAGCCCAGCAGCTCGTGCTTCCAGGCATAATAGGTAGAGCGGGAGATCTCAGGGAACCGCTGGAGGAACTGCTGCAGTGGCACGAGGCCCCCACGGTGGAAGCTGTCCTGCAGGAAGTGCTTGGCGGAGAAGCGGGTGGCCACCTTCCGTCGATGCTCCTGGGACTGCCGCCGCCAGCGGTAGAAGGTGCTCTTAGTAATGCTATAGCGATCGCCCAGGTGGGAGTAACTGAGGCCAGGGTCCCGGTTAAGCAGCTCAAGGGTCTTGGCGGGTGTGGCGGGTGGTGGCAGTGTGGCCTGGGCTGGAGGAGTGGAGGCCAGCCCCGGAGAACCATCAGCCTCCACCTCCTCCAGTCCTACCACAGGGGCAAAGTACTGGTGGCGGAAGAGGTGCCTGGTGAGGGGCTGGCCAGCCCACATGATGTGCAGTGTGGAGGGCATGTTGTCGCAGCGACGGGGTCGGATGACGCGGTTAAAGTAGGGCCGGATCTTGAGGTTGCGCATGGGGTAGATGGAGTATATGTTGCGCTGAAGGACCGAGGCGAGGGCGTACAGGTGCCACACATTGCAGAAGCTATTCGGGAAGCAGGTGGCCTTGACGTCCGCATCAAAGATGGCTTCCAGCGTGGCAGATGGCAGGCTGGTCATCTCGGGGGACTCCTCGGAGCACAGGGAGTAGCGCACGGCCTGCAGCATCACCTTGGAGTCGATCATGCCCTGGAGGTAATAGTGTCGGTGCAGCAGCATCTCCACCACCGTGCGAGCCCGCAGCTCCAAGCTGAGGCCTGCGTCGCCCCACAGCAGCATGCTGGCCGCCTCGAACAGCAGGCTGCCCTCGCCCTTGCACACCAGTGGCAGCATATTCTGTGGAGCATCCTCTGGGTACAGGCTCAGGGCCACCGAGTCCACCTCCAACACCTGGAGACCGGTGCCCTCCTTCCGGCAGGTGGGGAGAGTGAAGGATGACAGCACCTGCTTGGCCTCCAGGGCGGCACTAACCAGACCCTCCAGGCCCTCAGACTCCACTGCCTCCTGCAGCTCCCTCAGTACCTGCTGCACCAGCTGGTCCCGAGAAGTCATCCTGACAGGGCAGAGGACAGAGGGCAGAGGTTAGGAGGAAGTACCCACATGACACCTAGCAATGGTACCTCATCCACTCCTGTACTTTTCCCCTGCAGCTGGTGTCCATCTGTTCTCATTTCCCCACAGCAGGTAACAGCTACCTGCCTCCTTGGGTTTGTTTAGTCACTCACTGGTACTGAGGAAGAGCGTGGTCCCTGGAACTTGGCTTTGAATCTTGGCTCTGATCTTAGCTTGGCCACCCTAGGCAAGCCACATAACATCCTATGCTTCTGCTTCCTTTTCTGCAAAATGGGGATAATACATAATTTATCTGATAAAATTAGGGTTTTTTATTTTATTTTTTATTTGTAGCTGGACACAATACCTTGATTTTATTTACTTATTTTTATGTGGTGTTGGGGATCGAACCCAGGGCCTTGCACATCCTAGGCGAGCACTCTACCACTGAGCCACAACCCCAGCCCTATCTTATAAAATTGTTATGTGCATAATTGAAATAATGAAAGTAATGAATGGAAATACAGATTTATATATTCAGTCATCTTAAGAACAGTGCATGGCACAGTGAAAAGTAGCTATAATATATTGTTATATAGTATAATATGTATTATACAGGGCTGTGGCTACAATTCAGAAATAAAAGTGGTACTGCTAAACTTGATAAAGACTTGCAATCACATATCATCAAAATTGGTCTGCCTTTTCCTAGAACAGCGATTCTCAAAGTATGCTCTCATGACCCTCAGCATTCTGAGACTATTTCAGAGGGTCTGCAAATTAAACTATCTTCATAATGTTACTAAGCTATAAATTTAATACTAAGGTATTATTTGCCTTTTTGCTATACTATCATTTGTATAAAATTGTGTTATCATGAATCAAAGTAATGCCTGTTATTGTTCTTCATCATGCACTCATTTAAGAAAAAAGAAAAAAATGTAAAGACTAATTTCACTTAGGAACATCCTTAATGAAGCAGTGAAGATTATTGGTTTTAGCTAGGCACAGTGGCACACGCCTATATTCCCAGCAACTCTGGAAGTTGAGGCAGGAGGACTACAAGTTTGAGGCCAGCCTCAACAACTTAATGAGACCCTGTCTCAAAATAATAAAATTGAGCTGGGCACAGTGGCACACACCTGTAATCCCACTGACTCAGGAGGCTGAGGCAGGAGGATCAAGAGTTCAAAGCCAGCCTCAGCAACTGCGAGGCACTAGACAACTCAGTGAGATCCTGTCTCTAAATAAAATACAAAAGAGGGCTAGGGGATATGGTTCAGTGGTAGAATGTCCCCGAGTTCAATCCTTGGTATCCCCCCACCAAAAAATAATAGCAACAACAATAAAAATGACTAGGATGTCATTCAGTGGTGAAGTGCCCCTAGGTTAAATCCATAGTTCAAAACAAAAAGTCATGCACTTTGAGTTTTGGTGTGTTTTTAAAAGTCCACTGAAAAAGCTCTCAAAGTATGCTTCCTTAGCAAGCCTCCGGCATGCTTGGGTCTGCAGAGACCCTGTCGCATTCCTACAGTGCTTGCCTGTACAGTTTTGAAATGGATTGAGGCCTTGCCCTACCCCTATCCAGAGCAAGGTTATAGGAACTTCAGACAATCAAAGAAAAAAAAACAAATATGCTTCCTTTTTCCATCTACAAATCTGAGTAAAGTTGTGTTTTCTTCTTTTACTTCTACGAAAACAAGGTATCAAAATAAACCAATTAAGGGCTGGGGTTGTGGCTCAGCGGTACAGCACTCGCCTAGCACATGCGAGGCCCTGGGTTCCATCCTCAGCACCACATATAAATAAACAAAATAAAGTAAAAAAATAAATAAACCAATTATAGAGACATATACAAGAATCTACTTATGTTCTATTAAACCAGATATTACAGATATTTGAAAAAAATGTAAAATAATGAATTCTACTACTTTAGTTTTCCAGCCTGGAAAAGTTTTGTTGTTGTTGTTTTTCTAGGAGGGAAGGGGGGTACCAGGGATTGAACCCAGGGGCACTTAACCACTGAGCCACATCCACATCCCCAGCCTCAGATACAATTTTGCCAAGTTGCTAAGGCTGACTTTGATCTTGTGATCCTTCTGCCTCAGCTTCCTGAGCAGCTGAGCTACAGGTGTGTGCCATGGTGCCTGGGGAATCCTCAGCTTTTAAGCACACATGGTGGTGTGTGCTTACAATCAGGAGATCAAGTTTTGAGAATTGCTGCCCTGGAACAAAGGCAGTCTTTTCAAAAGGGCTGCAAGTCTACCCATAGTGCAGATCATAATCTCATAACTAGGATTTATTAAATATGCATTATTTGCCATGCGATGTTCTAACCTTGACAGCAGGACTTTAAAGCAAATAGTACAATTATCCCCAATTCACAGGTAGACAAACTGAGGCACTTGAAGACAGTCTAATTTGTTGTGAACCCACAAGTTAGTGAGGTGGCCAGTAGCTGAAATTAGATGCTCCTTAGGACCTGGGATTCATCTTCTATTTAAACCACCAACCCCCTTTTCAATGCAAACTAATCCTAATTTCAGTGTTCAAATGCAAATGAAGCAGAGTAGTAACCTTGTTTTGTTTTTTCTGGTTTTTTTAAGGGAGACAGGGTCTCACAGAGTTGCTTAGCACCTCACCTTTGCTGAGGTTGGCTTTGAACTCTAGATCCTCCTGTCTCAGCCTCCCAAGCTGCTGGGATTACAGGCATGTGCCACCACACCCGGCCTTTTTATTTTTATTTTTTAATATTTTTTAGTGTTGATGGACCTTTATTTTATTCATTTATTTATATGTGGTGCTGAGAATTGAACCCAGTGCCTCACACATACAAGGCAAGTGCTCTACCACTGAGCCACAACCCCAGCCCCCCTTTTTATTTTTTGAGACAGGGTTTCCCTAAATTACTTAGGGCCTTGTACAAGTGCAACAACAACAAAAAGAAATAAAGGATTGGGGATGCAGCTTTGTTCCAGAGCTGCTGGTGTAGCATATATAAGGCCCTGGTTTCAATTCCCAGTATCAAAAAAAGGGGGAAAAAAAGGGTGTGGGGGGGAACCATTATCCATTATCCTTTTTGATTTCTCACATCTTTTTTCTCAAAGTTCAATGCTCTGATTAGCCTTAAATTTATATACTGTCTAGGTATACACATTTTTTGGCTCAAACTGTTCACTTAAAAGGGATGTTATTTGAGGGTCAAGAGAGGTGGCACATGCCTGTAATCCCAGGTAGCCAGGAGTCTGAGGCAGGAAGATGGCAAGTTCAAGGCCAGTGTGGTCAATTTAGTGAGACCTGTCTCAAAATTAAAAAGGGCTGGGATGTAGCTCAATGGTAGAGCATCTCTGGCTTCATTCCCCAATACCGCCCCCAAAAAAGGAGGGGTGTGTGATGTGTTTGAATGTAAATTATGATTCAGTAAAAAATCATCTTAAAGCACCAAAGAAACATCTACCAGAATTTTACTTGATAATCATAGAGAAGGAAAACCTTTTAAACTTTGGTAATCAGAATCACCTTTGGAAAAATTTCTAGGCTACAGAGATGTTTTAAATGTGTATAACTCAGTGGTAGCATGCACAAGGCCCTGGGTTTGATCTCTAACGCTGTTTTAAAAAACTGTTTAATAGCAAGTCTTATAACCTCTTGCCAAATATCAATTGGTATAGGGCTCATCAGATATTATTTAATCTGTATTTGGGTTTTTCATCTATCCATCTTCTATGCACTTTATAGTTACTTTTAAAAATCTATTATTTTTGTTTGAACTCAAGAGATGAACTTCAGTCCTTAGTAAAAAGAATACATATGCAATTAAAAAAAATTGAACTCTGAGAACAAACTGCACATAGAAGAACTTTATCACTCTGGCAGACAATCATCCCAACAAACAAGATTGTGGTTTTTCTGTTTTTCTGCATGATGTCACTTGATGAACATCATTATACCACTACATATAAATGACTGCTCTGCCAGACACTATGCAAATAAAATTAGGAAAATAGCCACCATTTACTGTCTGCTCACTATATGCATTTAATTTAGGTAATTCAACCTAAATTTCAAAATAAAAAAAGGGGAGGGAACAATTAATTTAAATTGTCGGGCTGGGGATGTGTTTCAAGTGGTAGCGCACTCGCCTGGCATGTGTGCCGCCTGGGTTCGATCCTCAGCACCACATACAAAGATGTTGTGTCCGCCGAAAACTAAAAAATAAATATTAAAAAATTCTCTCATTCTCACTCTCTCTTTAAAAAATAAATAAATAAATTGTGTAGATGATTTTTCCTGCTCTTCCAATCAAGGATAGCCTGTTTCCTGAGCAGAGAATGATATTCCATCGGTGATTACAAATTTCTGTGGACTTTTGTGGGGGTGAACATTTGAATTTCTGGGTTTGGGGAGGTACTTTTGTTGATGTGGGGTCACCTTCCCTCCATCATAACTATCAACCCTGCCCCATTCGCACATCACTTTTCCTAGAAGGCAGAACTCAGAGGGAGAAGGGAAAAAAAGGAGTCTCAGGGAGTTAAATTAGGTAATTTTTCCAAGACCATCCACTATCAAAAGCTATAAAATGTAAGCAGTCTGATTCCAGAACTCCCGTCCTAACCACTATAGTTCCAACACATCCCCCCAATTCTCAGGTTCTGAAGGACCTTGCTTTGAGACCAACCTAGTCATTGTATAGATTTTTTTAAAAATGAGGTCCTGAAAGATAAAATTGACTTGCCTGAATTCATGCAGCACTGTCCAGATTCTTCCAACAGTGTCCAGATATGCCACACTTCCTCTTGGACAAATCCCACCCTTTCCCACCCTACCTCGTCCCACCCTACCTCCTCTTCCCAGTCTCACCCAGTTCAACCCTCCACCCTACCTCATTCCTTCCAATTCCCCAAAGAAGTGAAAAGTTTAGGTAAGACCTTACTTCTTTCTGGCTTCCTTAAAAGCCTGCTAAGAAAAAGCAGCCCCCTGGAGATTGTACACCAACCTCACCCCTCAGCCATGCAAAATGGGCCGGCCTGCCAGCAATGCGGGCTATGTGGGAAGGGCGGGGGCTGCACGGGGAAGCCCTTCATCCTTAAGTAGATGATTGGGGATGGGGTTCAGGTGCAAGACCTCTTTCTGGAAGTGCAATGCAAAGCCCTCAGACCGCTGCCAGGTGCGTTCAGGGAAGGAGATACAGAAAGTGGGAACTAATCTAAGGACTTGGCCCAGCTGGCCTCTGTTGGCCCCTCTTGAAAGGGATCTTAAAAGGCTTCAAACAAGGAGGCAAACACCCTCCAATTACACAGGCTTCTCTGCTTCCCTGGCCTGAAATTAGCAGGGAAGATGTAAAGATTGGGTATCCAGAGTGTCCAGCCAGCATCTTAGCACCTCAGATGGACTCTGGGGATAAGGAAGGAATGAACACAGACTCCCAAAGCCTCATCTTCACCAAGGCTGACTTCCTCCTTCTCCTTGTTGCAAGCAGATGGGGGTCTGGGAGCCCAGTTCAGGTGTTTAGCTCCTGGGTTTTAAAAGGCTGAGCCAGGGCTCTGGGTAGAACGTTGGAAGGAGGGGCTCTCCTCTGGGCTCTAGAATAAACCCCTTCACCACTGGCCACAGCCTGGCCTCTGTGTAGCTCACCACCTAGGATCCTCCCTTTTCTCCCTGTCCCTCCCAAAGCAGGCTCTGCAGTCAACCAAACCCAACAAGCATGCGTGCCACGCAGGTCTCAGGCCTCAGTAAGGCCGTGAGGTGAGATTCTCCCCTGGACGGCTGCCTTCTCACCCTGCCTGGCTCCGCGCCTGGGCGACTGACTGCACACCACCAGGGGCCGAGGGACTGCCAGCCATCTTGGTTCACGCCACTGTGTTCTGGAGACCCGGCTGGGCATAAGCGAACACTGGGTCCCTTAGATGTTACCTTCCTACCACTAAGGGTAGCTGTGCACCTAGAGTCACCGGGATAGGCCTGGGACCACCAAGTCAACCAGACCTCAGGAGTTCCCAAGTTCAGTTGACCACTGGTCTGGAAGGGAGGGAGTAGGGGAAGCGCAGCCTATTCGGGAAAGCAGCACAGGCACTTGGGAGTGCCAGGAGGCAGAGAGTGGCAGGGGAGAGAGAGCTGACCGACCTAGGGCAGCTGAGACAGGCACCCACCCTGGGAAACTCTGGCAGTGTGGGGAGGGGCCCAGGCAAGACCCCAGCCTCGGGTGGGGAGGGGAGATAGGCAGGCCAGTGGGGGTGGGGATGGGGATGGATGTGGGGGTGGGGAGAAGGAGAACTTGAAACAATACCTTGCCTCCCCGCCCCCGCCACACACACACACACACACACACACACACACACACACACGCAGCATCTTCATGGGGCCACCTCTTGACTTGGACCCTTTGGTGTTCCGAGGCCATTTCCCACACTCATGGGGCCTCCAGGCTGTAGGAGGCACCCAGCCTGCCTAGTTTTTAGAAAAAGTCCTGGTTTACTGACCTCAAGGGTGGCCCAGAGCCCTAGGGGGCGTCCACTTCTCTCTCCACCTTCCAGCCTGGAACATTTACATCACCCTGCAGAGAAAGGCCTTCCCGGGCAGCGTCCCCAGGCGAGCGAGCTTCACTCCCGCTCCAGAA